ACTGCGGTTCAATCCCCAGCACCACATGCCAGCCAGCCCCGGCCCCTGGTGGGCTGAGCTGGCCACACACACACACACACACACACACACATATATAAATAAAATTAAAAAAAAAAAAGTTAATAAAAATAACATATTTGGGCATGATGGTGCAAGCCCATAATCCCAGCACTCAGAAGACATAGTTCAAGTCCTGCTTGGGCTACACAACAAGACCCTGTGTCAAAAAAACAAAAGAAGAAAAAAAGTCCTTGGAAAAAAATCATATCTATTACTAATAGATTTAATAGATTTCATATTGTACTAATTTGTTAAATGCACTTAAAAAAATAGGAAAACTTCACTATACAAATGATAATTTTCTATGTATCAATTAGAGCAAACATCTTAAAACATGTCATACAACAAGCCAGGGCTGGGCATGTTAGTGCACAACTGTAACTCCCCAATGCTAGGGAAGCTGAGGCAAGAGGTCACTCAGTTTCAGGTCAGTCAGGGGCTTTATAGTGGGTCCAAGGTCAGCCTGGACTACATAGCAAGGTTCTGCCTAAACAAAATTAAGTTTGAATTAATGATATGAAAGTGTTAAGAACACTATCTCAACTATAAAACTTTATAGAACATTGCTGGACAATACACACACACACACACACACACACACATAGTGCAATTCAAAAAACATTCAACAAAAGCCAGGGAGGAGAGCACATATTAATTCCAGCACTTTGGAAGTTATGGCAAGAGGATAGCAACGTAAGTTCAAGGCTTGGAGTACACAGTGAGAACCTATCTCAAAAAAACCAAACAAGTGCCGGCCTCATAGCTAAGCGGACTAAAGCATCTGCTTAGGCAGGGCACAGCGGCCAGGGTGCGGCCAGGGTTTGATCCCCAGCACGCTGTGCTGGTCCCGCCCCCAGGGCACGCTAAAACAGCATGGTGGCACAGGCCTATAATCCCAACACTTGGGAGACTGAAAACAGAAGAACCACTACAAGTCGGATCTGTATAGTTAGACCCTGTAGACCCTGTACTAAACACATTTTTTAAAAAAAGCTTAACAGTACTATGAATTAAGTAAAATCAAATAAAAGTTTAAATATTTAAGTATTATTTTTCAATTATTAAAAAGTGAAATAATGGGTTCAATGAATGGGAATCACACACTGCTACTGACCACACCAACTGATTGTCCTTTGGAGGTGTGTTTTTGTAATGGAAGAGTCCATATTTAATAAATAAAACCTTACAACTTGGAAACAGGCACTGTCCTAAAACTTTCTCAATGACATATATGTCCTAATTTTCTCAATGACAGTATGTAAGGACTCTATTATCATCTCTAGTTTAAAGGTAAGTAAATAGGCATAGACACAGCTTATACAAACTCCAATTAGAATTTGACATCAAGCAAATGGACACTAGACTTCTACAGCCCTTAACATATAAGGGGGCTTGGCACAAGCACCAAGCCTGTGATCCCAGCAGTCAGGAAGCAGAAGCAGGAGGATTGCTGCGAGTTTGAGGATAGGCTAGGCTGCAAAGGGAGCTCAAAAAACAGTCTGAACTGCCTAGCAAAAACCCTGTCTCAAAAAGGAGAAGGAAAAAAATGGGGGATCATAACATGTTAGTTTTTACCTTGTGACCTTAATTATCGAAAATCTGTCCTGTCAAAATAACTTCACAATAGCTCAGTGGACTAAGTACCTGCTTAGGCAAACACAGGGACCAGGGCTTGATTCCCGACCACAAACAGTGGCGGGCCCGCCCCCAGGCAAGCTGAGCCAGCTACATAAACCAGGAAATCAGGCATGGTGGCACACACCCTTAATCCCAGTGCTGGAGAGGCTGCAAACAGGAAGATCACTAGTCCAAGCTGTGCAGTGAGATCCTATACGAAATACATAAATTTTAAAAAATAATAATAAAAACATCAAATATGAAAATGGCTTTATACATTTACAAAAATGTTAATCAGGGTATTCTGCATGGAAGCTCAGGGAAAAACAAGAACAGAGGAGCACAGCAACAGAGGAGATGAGATTTCTAGGCAGAAATTCACACATGAGCTAGCCCATGTAGCTGTGTACACCTACAATACCAGCTACTCAAGAGGATGAGGCTGGAAGATCTCAAGTTTGATGTCAATTTAGACAACTTAGCAAAACCCTATCTCAAAAAGGTCTGGGGACACAGTTTACCATTACCTGGGTTCAGTCACCGCTACTGGGGAGGGCGACTGACAAGTTATACAATGGCAGGAGAAATTCAGGCACAAAATGTAAAGGATAACAACGTTTCCACATGTTTTTGTGGGATAAACTAGCTTATAGTCCAAAATTTTTAGAAAAGAATTTTCTGCTGGGGACATAACTCACAAGGGCAGCATATGCCTGGCAAACAGGAGAACCCAAGCTTGATTTATGGTACTGAAACAGAAAATAAGGGGAGGGAAAAAGACCAAAAGTCCCTTCTAAGAAAGCCTTTGGGGTCAGTGGCATAAGTGCCTGCCCGGCAAGTGTTGGGTGCCAAGGTGGATCCTCATTACACTCCGCTCACAAAAAAAGAAAGCCTTTTAAAGATTTTTCTAAGGGGGCTGGAGAGATGGCTCAGTGGTCTAAAGCACCTACTTAGAACAAGCTTGGCAAAGCATCAGGGACCGCGGTTCAATCCCCCAGCACCACATGCCAGCCAGCCCCGCCCCCTGGTGGGCTGAGCTGGCCACACACACACACCCCCCCCTCTCTCTCTCTCTCTCTCTCTCTCTCTCTCTCTCTCTCTCAAATAAATTTAAAAAAAAGATTTTTCTAAGGGACTGGGGAGATAGCTCAGTAGAATAAGCACTTGCCTGGCAAGCGCAGGGTCCTGAGTTCAATCCCTGGAACCGCAAAAAAAAAATAATTAACAAATAAAGATTTTTCTACCTTAATGATAATCATGTCTGTCTTAAACTGAACTTAAAATTGTTTTAACCAAAATTCAAATTAACCCCAACTTGTCAAAAGTATTACTCCAAGACCTTAAAATAGGAGCCTTACATTTGACAGTTGTTTTTACAAGTTTGATGAAAGTTTCGATGAACTGCAATTGGATTAACAAATGCTATTAGTGAGAAGCACAACGAAATATCTTAAATAGATCTTAGATTCATAACTAGGCAGTAAGGAAAACCCAAAAATATTTTTAAGCTCACAATGATTATTAAATTATTTTCCCAGCATTGTTTCCTATGCCATCCCTGAACAAGAAACCAATCTCAGGACAGCTGGGTGTGGTGGTGCACTCATGAAATCTCAGCACTCCAGAAATCTGAGGCAGAGGGATCACAAATTGGAGCTCAGCCCACCCACTTAGTGAGGCCATCTCAAGTTGCCAGGTGAGATGGCCCACACCTATAATCCCAGCACTTGGAAGGCTGAGGCAAGAGAACTGCCACCATCAAGACCAACCTGGACTACACACTGAGTTCACAGCCAACCTGAACCACAAAGACTAAGAAAAAATTTTAGAACTTTTTTTTAAAAAAGGACCTCAACCTTTTGCCTCCTTGTACCTCTGGAAGCAACATGGGTCACCAGCAACTGCACCGGAGCCACCCAAGGAAATCTGGCCAGGGCTCCCGCTCTTGCCGTGTCTGCTCAACCGACACGGTCTGATCCAGAAATACGGGCTGAACATGTGCCGCCAGTGTTTCCGTCAGTACGCGGAGGACATCGGCTTCATCAAGTTGGACTAAGTTATCTTCCTTTGATGGATTATCCAGGCCATACAGATGCTCAATGAAAGAGACCATGCAAACTCTTTGTACATAAAATAAAAATTTTAAAAGATTTAAAAAAAAAGGACCTCAAAACGTCATAGTCGCTAGCTACTAAGTATACCAAGGATACAATGTTAAAAATCATAAATTCGGGCCAGGGAGATAGCTCAATAGAATAAGTGCTTGCCTGGCAAGTGCAAGGGCTTGAGTTCGACCCCTGCATCTCAAAAAAAAAAAAAAAAAAAAAAAAATCATAAATTCTCAGACACTCAAATTCTCCATCTTACTACTGAAACACAAGGTTTTCTTAAGTACTTTCTTATTAATCATATTTGAAAGACTTAAGTTTGTGAAAATTTACTTAATATACAGCAATTTAAGTCTATCCATGTAACAGCCTCTTCCTAGTCACACCACAACATGCCTCGCTGGACCAAAAAGCACTTCTCAACCTTCACTACTGGCTTTTCTAAGGCCAACTTGCCCATCAAAGAGAGCCTTCCCTTGAACATCACCAGCAAGCACTTGGCATTGCTTCCTGAACTGTCCTCTCCAGGGGCCCAGCTCTGCGCAGCAAGAAACCTCCATTTCTTCTCCAAGATGGTTCCCATCAATAGGGCACTTTATTTTTTGTGGAAATTTTCTTTTCTTTTCTTTTTTTTTTTTTTGTTTTGTTTGTTTGTTTGTTTTTGGCAGTACTAGGGATTGAACTCAGAACGTTGCACTTGCCAGGCAGGCACTTATGCCATTGAGCTATATCCTCAGTCCCCAGAAATTTTCTTATTGTGTGGGCTATGAACCCTTTCACAGGTTCACTGAGCCTCTCCCTTAAATTACACAAAATTTGCTTTTTTTTTTTTTTTTTTT